TATATATATATATATATATTTTAGTTGTAGTTGGACACAATTTTGTTTTTATGGGATGCTGAGGATCAAACTCAGGACCTCTCACGTGCTAGGCGAGCGCTCTACCACTGAGCCACAACCCCAGCCCCTTAAATATATTTTTTATAACTTTTAATTCTTTTCTTATGTGGTGCTGAGGATTGAACCCAGTGCCCCACCCTTGCTAGGCAAGTGCTCTACTGAGCTTCAGCCAGGGCGCCTCCATACATTTTGAGATAATTTTTGTGTGACTTGAGGCAGAGATCCGAATTTATTCTTTTTCATATACTTATCTAGTTGTCCTGGAACCATTTGTTGAAAAAAGTATTTTTTTTCCCCACTGAGTGGTCTTGTCACCCTTGTTAAACATCAATTGACCATAAATGTATGGATTATTTCTCAGTTCTGTCATGGGCTTACAATTGTATCCCTATGCTAATGCCACAGTTTATTATTGTAATTGTTTTGAATTTGGAAAGTATGAGTCCTTCACCTTTGTTCTTTTTAAAAATTGCTTGACTCTGCAATCCTCTACAAAATTTTAAACCTTTTTTATTTCTGCAGAAATATCTTTGGGACTTTGACAGACTGCATCAAAGCTGTAGATTGTATTGAGAATCATCTCATCAATCTTCTAATCCATGAGCACAGAATGCCTTTCCATTTTATTTAGGACTTCTCTAATATCTCAGAAATATTTTATAGTTTTCAAGGTATAAGTTTCACACTTCAATAAATTTATCCCTAAACATTTTATTCTTTTTGATATTAGTGTAAATGGAATTTCATTTTTATTGTTTATTGTTATAATACTAAAACTGATTTTTCTGTTATTTGGGATCATGTAAATTTGTTGTATTACTAACTCCATGAGTTTTGTGTGACTTTTTGGAATTTTTCATGTATGAGATATCATCTGAGAATAGAATTTCTTCCTCTCAAATTTGGATGACTTTTTAAATGTAATTATTTTTTATACCTTTATTTTTATGTGTTGCTGAGGATCGAACCCAGAACCTTGAACATGCTAGGCAAATGCTCTACTGCTGAACTACAACCCCAGCCCAACTTTTAATTTTTGCAAATAGGCTGGCTCCCACTCACAGTACTATGTTCCTTTATACTTTTTCTTTAAGCTGTAAGCTATTATTTTCTGAAGAAATTTTGCTTTGGTTACTCTACTTGATATAAGTCCTTTACTTGAGCTTTCTGGGGCCACTTACAAAAGATTTTGGGTTGCAAATCTTCAAACTATTTCAAATTTGTAGAGCAGAATACTCTGCTAGAGAACCCAAAGACTCGAGATAAACAAACTTCTATTTGACACCTATCTTTGGGTGCATCAATTTTTGCTTTTTGTTGTTGGGACCATGAAAATTAATGCTCATGTTTACTAGGTACTTCAAGAGCATTCTCAGGATGAAAGCTAGCTTCCTGGTATGTTGTTTCTCTTTCGGTCTTAATACTACTTTTTTTGATATCTTTTCCCCAGCAAGTTGTTCAGGTTCATCATCCCTACGGACAAACTGAAACGTCTATTCCCTCAATGTGATCATTTTAGTTGTGAAGTTTCAGCTAAACTTCTATACTACACTGCACTTCGTTTTTATGCATTCGGCTTCTTCTTTAAAGAACGAAATACTTTGAGCAAAGTACCGTTTAGCTCATAGTCATTTCTGTATAAAAAATTTGGACAGTCTATAAAGTGCCAAGGAATCATCTAGTCATTAAAGTATCTTTCTAGAGCTTACATTCTGGGGTGCGGTTGCAGGGGAACAATTACATATAAGATGGATAATATGGAATTTCCCGTTATGTACTGGACAGTGGTGGTGCATTACATAATTATCAAGAAAAAGCACTTTTATGAAGTGACATTTGAGATCTACAGGAAAGGCAGAAGCCATATCTGGGGAAAGACGATCTGAGGGAAAGGGAAGAACAAGGACAAAGTCCCGTGTCCAGGTCTCAATAGAGGTCAGGCTGAGGTTGGGATCATGGTGGGGCAAACGAATGATTAAATATGGGACAGTTGTGGGAAAGTTTCATTTATAGCCTTGTACATTTCCTTTTAATATTTGGCTTTTATTCTGCATGATGGGAATTTTAGGTTTGGAGGAAAGCCATTACACAACCAGACATGCTCATGTTGGGTGTTAGGTGTAGAATTGCTGCAAAGTAGGAAGCAGAAAGACTACTCAGAAGGCTACTAAAATAACCCAATTAAGAGATGGTGGCGCTTTACACCATGGTTATAGCAGTATGGTGAACCAGTAGATTCCAAATAAAAATTTTAGGGTAAAACCAAGAAGACCACTATTAATTTTGACTAGGAGATTAAAAGCCACGATGCCTAAGTTTGGGGCCAGTTCAACTGTTTACATTCACTCAGGTTCTATAATAGGAGGTACGTGCACATCTCTGTGTAGAAATCTGGCCACTTCTAGATGACTTTGAGATAGCCACATGCCTAAGAAACTGTTGAATTCAGAAGTTTTGGAAAATCAGCAAACAGACTGTCAAATTTGTGAAAGTGAATTTTTTCCCCATAAAACCATTCTTTGTATAGAGTGTTATTAAAATCTCATTAAGAAACAGCATACAGGTTGGGAAGATATAATTTATGACAATGAGACCTTAGTGAAAACATTCCAAGTAAAATAATTATGAAACACTATGCATCTGAATAAAATTCTTAAAAATATAAGGCTTGGAAAGTTTAAGAAAGTATAATGCAAATAGTGATCACTGTGTTCTAACAGCAAACTTCACATGCATAGCCTTCAGGGAACTTTTTGATCTTAACATTTATGTTGTGGTGGTGGACTGTTGTCTTAAAACCCCGTTTCTAAATACCCTTACCTTCTCTCCCCACCTCCATTACATTGGGAAAGCACAAGAAAAGCTTTAACAATGCCGAGTTTAGGGTACACTTAATGTTAAATTCAAACACTGTTCACATTGGTGGGATGAAGGGGGAAGTTGCCCAGTTTTAAAGCCACAGAATGAAATCTGGGTTCAATCTACCTTGCAGATAGATCTTTGGAACTGGTTCTTTTTAATACTTAATCACTGGTTGAATTATGTGTAGCAAAAATAAATTCCCAATCTTTACCATGCATGGAAGCATCTGGAGAGCTTTTTAATACAAGCTACTGGGTTCTACCTCACAGTGTAAGTACAACTGGGACAAGACCCAATAATTTCACAAATGATGCTGGTATTGGTTCTGAGTCACTTTAAAAACCATCACATTAGTTCTTCATAGACCAGTCTATTACTACTGTTTAAATATGTTCAAAATCGAGCTCACACACAGTATTAAAGTTTAAGTGTGGACTTCATGTTCACTGGAATTACCAAGTAAGACCAACTTGTCTTTAAACACAGATTTTAATGATAACAATTCCTTTAAGCTCAATTAACTTCAGCTATTACAAGTCTTATGCAGATGTCACTATTAAGACAACATTAGTGACTTGCACTGGGTTCCTCATAGAAGACAAATTTCACTTAAAAGTGGAATCAACAATCATTTAACAGTTTTGTTATGTTAACACAAAACATGGCTAGTTTGAGTTACACCCCCCATCACTAACACACCATGATCAGTATACTTCAAACTATTAAAAAAAAAAAAGTGAGTGTTTCACTACCCCTGAGACCACTATGTTAACTGTGGTTCATACTTTTAAATGTGAGTACACCCACACAAGGAAAACAAACTAATCATTTATTTAAAAAAAAAATCTGATTATCACATTGCAAATCTTCCCAGGGAAAAGAGTGAATCACTTAACATGTAAATTTACCATTAACAGGTCAACTGGACTCTTAAGAGAAATTTTAAGAATTTAAGAAATTAAAGTTTATGCATTAAAAGATACAGTAAATACATAGAAATGGTCCAAATCAGTATTTAATCTGCTAATATTCATTTCAGTCCTACACATGGCACTAGTAATGTTGAATTACTGGTTTGGACGGGGGAAAAAAAGAACAAATTCTTTCATTCTTTTAAAAGTTCCATCGTAGATGATCCCAAGTCTAGTATCCATACATTCAAAAATGTTGGTTTTCCAGGTACTTTAAATTACTGTTCTCTTAAACCTGGAGAAGCCTTTATGGCTTATTCCCTTAGAAGCGACATACGAAATATTGTATAAAGCATTAAGTCAAAGATAAAGAGAACTGGACATATCCACTAGTTATCATTACAATCAATGGTTTAAGTCATCTCTGTAAATACTTAAGGTTGTTCTAGGCTAAAAAAGATCAATGTGAAAGCCCATTTAAGATCCACTGCTTACAAAAGTTTTATTAGTGTTTTGGCTTTCAATAAATATGCCTACTAAAGCTGTTATTTTTGAGAGCACAGGAGTTTCAGAAATAATTGTTTTTTTAAGAACAGAGCCAAAAAGCAGTATTTCTTACCTTGTGGAGCAGTTACTAGTTTCTTATTCATAATTTGAATCCAAAAGTTTTAACAGCATGACATCTACCCTGAAGAACCCACAATTTTTAAAGCAAAAGTTAAAATAAAAAAAATTCACTCATTGGAAAAAATTGTATAGCTGGATTGACACTTCCCAATGAAATGCTTATTACAGAATTAACAAAGCCAGAATATCTTCAGAAGGCATGCATTTCACTTCCAGTTTAGATAAGAACCTTAAGTCAATAAATCACGTCCAAACTACATATTAAACCGTTTATAAAAAATTAAGCATTAACATTTATTTCTAGCTTTCCACCTGTGTGTGCAGACAAGGAATAAGACTTGCACACAAGCGTAAGCAGTGCAAAAAATGTGGAAGTGGAGATGTCACGTGCTAGAAATACAGGACTTTAATAAAGCAATGGTTAAAATGAAATAACTAAGAAGCATAACTACAGGATCAGAATTAGGAAGGGTGAAGAATGGTAATGCCCTTGTTACCAAAGAAGTTTAGTGGCACAGATAGCACTTGTCAAACAAAAAATCCAATAGCATTGACTTTTATTCGTTCATGTTAAGTCACCTGAAATGATATTTGTTGCATTTAAATGCTCATTAATGTAAATGGCTGAACAAATCCATTTCAATGGATACTCAATATCCCACAGTTAAGTCACTTCAACACAGCCTCATGACAACTCCCACACCAAAACAGTACTTTATTTTGTAAATTTTGACCCATTGTTACTCGTATGTTTAGTTTTTTTTTTTTTTAAGCTGTCAAGTGTACATGGTGAAGAGAAATTGTTAAGATTGGTGATGCACCTGGAAAATAAATTTCTTAAACTCCATATACACGTTTCAAAACTGCTGGGTCCCAAGTCCATTTATGAACTCCAGGGCTGCCAGTATCATGTGCAGCATATTAAAACTACACTATTTGAATAGCTTAATTCTGCATAAATCAGGTCAAGCAATGTGTCAACCTGTAACAGACTGTGCACTTTAACTGAACATGGCAAAATATTCACTCTTTTGAACTTTACATCATCATTTGATGTCAAACAATGAAGCAAACCCCAACAGTATATACAAAAACAGCTTTGCATTTACAAAAGATTGTTTCCCATACTGATTAATCCAGGCAGCTAACTCATTGGTTTATGCAACTTTATTGAAGAAAAATAAATCAATTACTAGCAGAGCTATTAGTTGATCACTCATCCATTGACAACTTGCATCATTTATTCAGTGCTATATTAAACAGTGTATTGGAAGATAGATTAACTAATAGCTCCAAGCCTCCTAACAATTTAAATGAAAATTACAAAATGTTTTGAGACCCTATTTTGGAATACAAAGGGTGTTTGACTTCCAATTTCCATTCTCTGTAGAACAAGAACAGGTCATTCCTTTATTGACATGCATAAAATACATCACATTTTCTGTTCTGCTGATGCTATAAATTCAATACCAATTCTCCAGCCACATCAGTTATGAGCATAAAGTATAACATGTAACCTCAAATCTCTAACAGTGGAAGGTTTAAACAAAATGGATGCTGCTAGAATAATGCTGCTTCCTTTGATGTGACAACTGAGCATCCATCTCCCTCCCCCTCAGATGATTTCTTCAGCATGTTAGAGCAGTGAGGAATGGTTTAGTCTCATAACCAAGTTAGAGTGAAGACATTGGCCACATAATACACATGCTCCATTTTTTAAAAAAATTCTGAATCTTGGGCAACTGTTCTCTTGTAACTACTTTACAGTTTCTAAAAGCAGTTATTGTCCAAAGCTGGAAGAACTTAAGTCTTCTCAGATGAGCATGTGAATGAATGGAGGGAGGTAAACAAAAAATAAAATTAAAAAAGATGAGGTCTGATAGGGGAGCAGCCGGATAAGAAAAATCAAAAAAGGAACAGTAATTTAAAGTTTATTCCAGCTATAATGCAGGTTATTCTGACTTTAAGGTAGCATCACATGGCATACTTCTGAGTCCATTCCCGAGATATTCTGTTGTACCTACAAATAAAGAAAAAGTTACTTTAATAAGTTAAAGGAAAAGATTACTGTTTTTAAAAGGAAAAAGACTTCTATTTTACCTACAGACTCATTATAAAGCCATCTGTAATGGCTATGATTAGAATAAAACCAACAAGGGAAAAATAGCACTGGCACCCAAAACAATATGGGAAATGAGAACTGAATGCTTTCAAAGCAGTATTGTTTTAATAAATGTAGGAGGGCTAACAAAAACCAAAGACTTTTTCTCCATCACTGAGCTAATGGTCTTTCAGAAATTCTAAAAATTGGTTATCCGTTACAACAATTTTTTAAAAAAATATTTATTTTTTAGTTATAGGTGGACACAATATCTTTGTTTTACTTTATGTGGTGCTGAGGATCAAACCCAGTGCTTCACGCACGCTAGGCTAGCACTCTACCTCTGAGTCAAAACCCCAGCCCATTACAATAAATTTTAATGCAGAAATTGTTTTAGTTCACAGATGTTTGTCACACAGAATACATATTCTGTACATCAACAAAAATTTCCAAAGCTAGAACCAAACACGTACTATCACTAAAAAATTGTCATCTGAAACCTAGACCTGAGAAGTTACTTGGGCATGGGTATAACCAGAAGAGAAATCTTTGAAACGTAGGCAGAACAGACAGATAGTGGGCAGGCTGACAAAGAAATTTAAGAGTAGATGGGTATAAGTGGTCGTGCTAATTAGAACCCACATGTGTTACTTTTAAAAATTCTGGCGATTGGTGCTACTAAGCCCAAGTGAGACCTGCTAAACTGGATATCTTTGTTTTAAAAAAAAAAAAAAATCCACAGATAATTCACCTGTGAACTAGGGCTACTGCTGAGGAAGACTGTTAATATTGACACACACTATTAATCTCTCCACAGATAACAATCATGCCAGAGGTTACTTACCAATAAAATATAGTGATAACCTTAAAAAATGAATATACATCAAAGGCACAGAACTTTTAGACTGACATATTTAATTTTTAAAAGATTACCAGCTTCATTTAAACTAAGAACTAAATTCAACTATTTTTCTAAACTTAAACAGATAAAAGTTTTTTCTACTCAATTCCATTATGCTACTAAAGAGATATTCTCTTCAAAAGCTAGCACTTTAAATCAAAGGCTTTAGTTTAGCATACAGGGAGCCACAAAATACAGCTGACATTAATGCATGCTTGTCAGTAATGAACATTTAGATTAGATGCTTAGGCTTTCAAGTGTTTTTCCCTTATAATCCTACCTCCTGGCAAAATTTGAATAAAATCACCACATTCCATATACTACTGGTACCTTTTCAAGCTAAAAATTTAACACCATGGTAGTTTGATACTCTTAAACTTCTACTTCTTAACTAATGCTATGTAACTGCTTTGCCATGCAAGAATATTTTCAAACAGTACTGACTATGAGGTATACTTTCACGCTAAAGAGAGCTCAAGCAGTTAAATGTACAGTTTTCAGAAAACTGCCACATCTGTTACCTTTTGTTAGTTAATACAGTGCCTTAAAGCATGCAGCACTCAAGTGCTGGCAGTTCCATGAATAAGCGCACCATAGAGTGCAGATCCTCTTACCCTACAACATAGCGTATTTCTCTGTCCACTCTCTTGCTAACCTATTGTACCTAATTGAACAAGTACACTTAGCATTAATTATAACATACAACAGTTACAATGGTTAAGTTGAACACAAACATAATTCAAATATCTGAGAAATATAGAAACAATTTTTACAACAGTACTAATATAATTTTATTAAAACAAAACAAAACAAAAAACCACACCTGGGTGAAGAAAATGTGATTTCTTCCCTCAAACTTGAGAGTAAAATGACAAAAGTGCTTAACGTATTAGAAAAAGAAAACCTGAAGGGGTTATTCATTGTCACATATACTGAAATCTGGTTTTTTAAAAAATAACGCATTTTTAATAACTAGATTGGGGCACATTTTAACCATTATCTTACCAGAAAACAAGCATCAAGTCTTCCTGCAAGCGCCACAACTTACAACAGAATATAAGCCTGTCTCATTAAGAACCTTTTAATAGCTTTCCTAATACTATTGCATACTTACTTATCTCTGTCTGTTTTATAGATCCGTGCAATCTCTGGCACTAAAGGGTCATCTGGGTTTGGATCACATAGCAGTGAACAAATGGATAAAAGAACTGTAAAGAAAATAAATGTATGTTACATAATAGCATCAGGAGTTTGAATAATTGTCAACAGAACTTTAGAATCTGCACTACAAACTTCATTTCCTCAAAGGTTTTTGTCTCCTTGTCTCTCTGTAAGGTAGAGACCACACTCCCAAGAGTATTGGTAAAATAATGCCAAGCTCTCATGGACAAAGTGAGTCTTCACAGTTCTAGTTATTACTTGACCTTTTAACATACCAACTTAGTAGATGATAGCACTAAGGACCATAGACGTCATTCATTTTGAGTACCTGTTATGTGCCAGTCAGTAGACAGGTATTGTTATGAGACTATAAGATCAAAATGCTTAAAGCAGCAGCATGAGAAAAAATTGACCATCATGTAAACGAAAAATTTTTGTTGACAGAAGTAAATACAATTTATTTCAAATCCAAATGCATGGGGGAGCATATAAAATTACACAACAGAGAGTACCCAGCTACATAGTAACTTACAATATTAAATTACGACTGATGTGATAAAATAATAATTTAGCAAATAAGAATGCCAAAAAAGCAAGTCACTAAAAGACAAACCACCACACCACCAATTCAAATTGCATTTACAAAAAAAGTTTTCAGCATCAGAATACATCTCAGATGGGGCTAGGGTTGTGGCTCAGTTGTAGAGCGCTTGGCTCGCATGTTCAAAGGCACTGGGTTTGATCCTCAGTACCACATTAAAAAAAAAGTTATTAAGTCCAATTATAACTAAAAACTTGAAAGGAATACATCCCAGCAGTAGTGACTCGACTGGAATTTGTCACTTAAAATCCATGTATTTTTTTTGTCCTCCCTTCAAATACACCTATTTCACTTTGCATTTACCAAACTTATGGTTTATTCATAAAAAGTTAAGATGTACGACTATCTGAAAATATGCTTAAGTCATAATTAGTAACATTAAAAACCTAATTCTATGTACCTAAGGAATGGCAAGTTAACACCCCAAACTGAAACTAAAAAGACATACTTTCTTCCCTCTCTTAAGTTTTGTGCATAGGTGATTTTATTTGTGGGGTGAAAAAGATATAAAATGCTTCCAGAGTCACTCAAAAAAGAAACAACTTAAACCAACACCACTCTATTGTGACATTCCTGCAGTATGGACAACCTGTTAAAGATATGTCACATAGGGCTGGGGATGTAGCTCGAGAGGTAGCGCGCTCCCCTGGCATGCGTGCGGCCTGGGTTCGATCCTCAGCACCACACACAAAGATGTTATGTCCGCCAAATACTAAAAAATAAATATTAAAATTCTCTCCCCCTCTCTCTTAAAAAAAAAAAAGATATGTCACATAATAAACTTCCTACTCAAAGTAGATCCAAACTGATCCAGAGACTTTCCCAAGATTCCACGGTTTTAGACTAACAATCCTAGGTAAGAAACACCTAAATCAAGGTTCCATAACATGTGACTAGAAATTTATTTAAAGGGAACTTATTGGGCAACTTTTCAAACATAATCTCTTTAACCAACACTGATAAAAGAGTAAAAAATAATGTAAGTCTAATCCCTTCTAACCTTATAAACACAATGTTGAAATACAAATACTCAGGTAAGTAGATTTAAGGATTAAACTCCCAGTAATTATTAGAACATCAGAGTAGCTCAAGTTTATTCTACTACAAGTATTTTACCTTTAGAAATAGTTAAAGCAGGAGACCATTGTGATCTTAGAATATCAAGACAAATGCTGCCATTACTGTTAATATTTGGATGATAAATTCTTGTTGTAAATGCAACCTAAAACAAACAAAAAAACCTAAGTATTTTATCCAAATAAAAACAAGCATTCTAAACTTAAAACTTTAAAAGCAAGGCTTAAAATATTTCAAACTGAATCAATACAACTTAATTTATGCACATAAAATTACCAAAAATTATCAAAACTGACTTTTACATTCTGACCATGAACCCCAAATGATTCCTTCTTTTAATTAAAATTAAAAATATAACTTTGGGGCAAAAAATTTCATTACTAAAATATGGTGAAAAGTTCTGAAGATTAACTGTTTTTAATTTATTATTGAGTACTGGAGATTTAACCTAGGGGCAGCTTGCCACTGAACTATATTATATATCCCCAGCCTTTTATTTTGAGACAGGTCAAATTGCTTAGGGCCTTGCTGAGTTAATGTGGCAGGCTTTGAACTTGTAATCCTACTGTCTCAGACTCCTGAGCTCCTAAGATTACAGGTGCATACCACTGAGCCCTACTGTTTAACTTTGATGTTACCATATTGTTAAGTGTCAAAGGAACACAAAGATATTTAATACTCATTAAAATATAAGGTTTTGGTATAACCAAAACTTACAGCTCATTTAAAATAAGTGATACATGTACATATTGAACTTTGCATTTTCACTGTACATAATAAAAATTTGAATATCAGAAATATTTCAGAAGAATTGTACCACTGTTTATCTTTAAGCAACTCTTAGTCATATAGTGAAACCAAAGTAATGTGAAATTGCAATGCATTATGTGCACATATGAAACTGAATCTGTTTTTTTACAAGCCAATAGGACCAATAATCCAAATCAGTGTACAAGTATCAAGGAAACACTTCCACATGGTATATTTGAATCTTGCAATATTAATGACAAAGCAAATTGTATACCCATTTATAAAGTTCAAATCACTCCAGCTTTTTAAACTAAACACCATCTATTATATTCAATTTAAATTATTCTCATTCAAGCTTAGCCTCAATCACACAGAACTCTTTATTTCCATGAATGCTCAATTCCTCTAAAACAAAGCATAAATCTTTACTAAGGGAAAATACTTGCCTTAGGTGGTTTGAAGGGGTAGTCTGTAGGAAAATGAATTGTCAAAAAGAATACACCACCTTGATATGGGCTGTCATTCTGTGAAGAGAAAAACATGCTTAAAATTAAAAAAAAATTTAAATAATAATATTAAATAATATTATCTATTCTTTACACAGAAATGAAGAAATCTAAATTATTCCAAGAAAACTCAGTTCATAGTAATAAAAAATATAAAATCAAAATTACTATATAGTGAATCCTATTTAAATCCCATTTTACAAATTTCCAGAATATTGGGAAAAGGTATCCAGAAACACTAGTGTTCTAGATCCAAATTCTCATAAATGAAAAAGTACACTTAACAATAAAGCTTACAAACAGTATCATGTACTGGTCAGACTACAGAAATTAGAAAGCAAAATATTAAGTATGTTAAAAAAGCAGACAAAAACAAGTTAAAAAAATTCTTTTTTTTTTTTAATTTGAGACACGGTCTCATCATGTTGCCCAGGCTGACCTCAAATTTCCCACCTCAGCCTTCTGAGTCCCTGGAATTATGGGCATACACCAACCAACACACTTTTATCAGGCAAATAAAAACTTTCATAGATCTGACACTTTTAGAATATAGCTTATCAATTCCAACTCCTCAGAAAAATAATTATTAACTCCCCACTACATGGTAGATATGTGAAAAGATCACAGAAAATGATTTTTTTAAATCTTGACAGACTTAAAATTCTGTTACCAAGACCCATAAAATACACACAATAAAATGTTATAGATATGAAATGTGAATGAAATACACAGGGGATTCAAAAGAAAGAAGTTAATTATTGGTGAAGAATCAGGTTCAAAGAAATGTATAAATCCTGCTGGGCACAATGGTGCATGCCTATAATTCCAGGGACTTGGCAAGCTGAGGCAGGAGGATCCAAAGTTTGTGGTCAGCCTCAGCAACTTAGTGAAACCGTGTTTCAAAAATGGCTTGGTGACAGAATGCCCCTGGGTTCAATACCCAATACCACACACACACAAAAAAGAAAATTGGACAACCAATGAAAGCAATAAAAAGAGTAAGCTACTATTGAGTCCTATAAAATTTAATTAAAAAGACCTATAATAACAAAGCAACACCCAGGAATAATAGAGGAAATAAATAAAACCAAAACCACCATTTATTTGACCCAGTTATCTCATTCAATATATACCCAAAGAACTTAGGTGCCCTTCAATACATTGAATGCATAAGAAAATATGATGTGTATATATACATAATGGAATATTACTCAGCCATAATAAAGAACGACTTTTGCCAGTAAGTGGATATAACTGGAGACTATCATGCTAAGTAAAATAAATCAATCCCAAAAAAACCAAAGGCTGAAATGTACTCTGAGATATGCCAGATACTAAAACAAAATAAATGAGGGTGGAGAGAATAGAAATTCACTGGATTAGACAAAGGGAACTGAAGAGAAGGGAGGCGGGATGAAAATAGGAAAGAGTAGAATGAATCAGACACAACTTTTCTATGTTCATATATAACTACATCACCAGTGAAATGCCACATCATGTACAACCACATGAATGGGATCCTAGTTAGAATGTAATACTCCATATGTATGTATGTCAAATGACACTCTACTGTCATGTATATCTAAAATAGCAAATAAAATGTAAAAAAAGGGGAAAAAAATTCAAAGCAAGGAACCCAAAATATAACAAATTTATTAGATGAGCATATCTTTGTTAAATAATATGGCTATATTATATAGCATGTAGAAAATAAGTTTTTACTATATAAATAATAATTTTGTGATGGTCCTACATACTAAAGTTTTCTCAAAACCCCATTTCAGATGCTCTGTTTAACTTTCATTTTCCAGTTTCACACAATCAAGGGTTATGTCTGACTGCTTCTGAACAAAGAACTCAATGATGCAATTTAGGCAAAGCCAAATTTCATTTTACTTGTTTAAAAAAGAAAGGAAAAGAAAAAAAAAGCAGCTTAGCATTTCCATGTTACATTAAAATTCCACCACATCAAAGAGGAAAAAAGTAAAACAGACTTAAAGACAAGGCCATATTAAAAAAAGAGACAGGAACTATAAAGAAAAACAAAACAAAAACAAAGGAACTAAAAGAAGAAATACTTTGATTATTGTAATCTTAGAAACAGAACTTATATTCTATCTTTTCTGTAGAATCCTTCTATCCCGTTAGTCCTAGTTGCTGCCCCCCTGGTGTCTTTTATTCCTTCTGTGGCAATCATGAAATGTTGGTATTCCTAGAGATCATTTTTTGCTTCTAACTCCCACCCACATATATTTTGCATACTCTCAAAGTTTCCCTTAGTGTCATATTCATTCCTTGGCATTCATTCAAATGTCTATTCAATCTACTTGATATCTCATCACATATACAAAACACAAACTCCTAATCTCTTCAACACTATTTTTCCTATCAACAGTAAATCACAATAGAAATCTATAAACCAGGATCTCGCAGTTGATTATTCCTTTCATCTGACTCATTCACAGTGGTTACCCAGTCCTAAAGAACTTCAAAATTTCTTGAATTTGCCTCTCCTTTATGCCTATGCCCACTGCCACTACCTTAGTTCAAGATGTTAGTACTGGTATTTCTGCTATTATTCTGGCTTTCCTTTCCAATTATCTCTGTCCTAGTGTTAAAGTGATTCCATTATATCTCCTATTTCTTTCCCTTATTTGAAATGTTATTCCCAATAGTCAATACATTAACCCAATTTGCTGGCTATTTACTAATTACAATCATCTACCTTATTTAATACTTATACTTCCCTCTTAATATAGTTGAAGATCTTTAAAGAGTAGGGTAAAAACTGGGTGGTGGTGTATGCCTATAATCCCCAGGGACTTGGGAGGCCTAGACAGGATGATCCCAAGTTCAAGGCCAGCCTCAGCAACTTAGCACAGCCCTAACCAACTTAGTTGAGACAGTCTCACAATAAAAGTAAGAAGAACTGGAAATGCAAAGCTGTGGTAAAGTGCCTCTGCAGAATCCCCACTACCAAAAAAGGAAAAAAGGGAAAATTTCATATAGTTAACCTTTGTAGAAAGTGACATAATACATTTAAAATTGATCTTTATGGATCAGTAAAATAATTCTTATGGACAGATTTTACTTCAGATGGCTTTTGTAGTTACACTCAAGCTAATATTCAGACAGTTCTATCTTTTATAACTGTCACAATTAGACGGAGGTTAGTGTGGTTCTCCAAATACTTTCAAACATACCACCTTCTGCCAACTCCACTTCCAATTGAAGAAAAAATTAGACATGCAAATATTAGAAGCAATAAGTTAATTTCTTCTCTTTGTATGAAGTCTCATTGGTAACTACCCTTAATATAGTACAAAAAATTCAAACATTTAAAAAACCACTTAACTAGCAAGGATCTGTCAAATCTTTCAAAGAATTTTAGTTTTTATCCGTATCTGTGATTCTTAATTATATGTACTATTATTATACACAATTTTTTTTTTAATTTTTAAAAAAAGTATTTATTTTTTTAGCTGTATTTGGACACGATACCTTTACTCCATTCATTTGTTTTTATATGGTGCTGAGGATCGAACCCAGGGTCTTGCGCATGCTAGGTGGGCGCTCTACCACTGAGCCACAATCCCAGCCCCTATACACAAAAATTTTTGCCATATAACTTCTAATGATACAGAGCACTTCTTGACTAAAATTCAGCAGCTACTCTCTACTGAAACTTAAATTACATGCTACATTTACTGAGAAAGAAATCTTTAGTTCTATGATACTACCATTACCTTAACTGACCTAAAAAGCACTCTGAAGCAAATGTGATTTTGCTACTATCTAGTTCTCCCAAGCAAATCCACAATTTGTGGATTACTATGCTACCACACTGCCTGCTTTATTGTTTTGGTTCACAAATACAAACCATACAGGGTAATCGTAGTCAAAAAATAAGATATTATTTGCATTATAATGTGATACTCTGTCATAAGATGCATTCAGAAACCAAAACAAAGCACTGATGCATTCCACTCTAAAGATACAGTTAACTACTTAAAAGCTGACATCTAAATTTGTGTGCTTGCTTACATAAAAACTTATATATATGTTTAATGCCCCTTTTCCCATCTAACATATTACTGGCGTTAAATAAAACTAGGAAAAGGAAATGGAAGCAGAAAGTTTTCAGTATAATATACAAGAAACTTAGAAAGTTCCTTCTATGTTAAGGGGGAAAAATGTTAAGAATTTGTGGAAGATACAATCTTAACCCAGGATGTTTTAGTGCGCTTTAATATTCTGAAATTCTTAGATGGTATCCATAATTCTGAATTTTCAATTATCCAGCCTATAGATTCTTATCAGGATAGAAAGGAATTTTGCTCTATTCAGAATATCACTTTCTGCCTAGTATTTTCAAATTTGTATGAGACTAAAATTCTGTAAGAAATTGAATATAAAAATAATACAAGTAAGCTAGATTCCTGGCAACTACAGGAACAGGGTAAGATCTTTGAGTAACAATTCATAATAGAAACAGAGCCAGTAAATTGTCTAAGTAATAAGAAGTTCAATGCCAGTGCTTCACATTGCTATGAAGGAAAACTGAAATTAAGGCAAAGAGAGATTTGGTAGATCCAAAGAGATGCTATACTCTACAAAACTGAACACAGGGATACACAATGTACATGTAACAAGTACAATATTCTATTTCTTTCAAAAGTAGTACAATTATGGTATAACCAAACCAGAATACACTACATAATAAAATAAACCTATGAACTAAATTTAAAAATTTATAATCAGACTGATGCTGAATTTTTAATTATAAGGAAAACTTTAAAAGTCTTAATACTTACAGGTCCCATAATTGTGGCTTGCCAATGAAACACTAGAAAAAGGGGGGAGAAAAACACTCTTTAGCATTATCCCAAAATACAAAAGCTTTTTTGAAGTTGGTCATATTAAAAAAAAATTAATTTAGAAATTACTTACTATCATCCCCAACTGGACCTGCAGAACATTGTGCTGGAGGGTCACGGGCCAAATCACTAAGTTCCTACACCAAAACAGAAAATTGTCATGTAATTTTAATTTAAGGAGACTGAATCCAGGAGTGGTCTACCTCTGAGTTAAATTCCAGGCCCCCAATTCCAACTTATTTTAAAATTTTATTTTCACACAAGTTCCCTTAAATTTCTTCAGTGGCAAAAAACTCCCAGTCCTCCTGCTTCAGACTCCAGAACACTGGTATTACTAGCATGTGCCACCACTCCTGATTTCTTAGTGAGGCCATTCTTTTAAGACAATGCAATCACAATTACCAAATACTAGTCTATTAGGAGAAATAAAACATAAGTAACCTTAAGTCTGATTCCTAGAACATGGTAAGCATATTTATTTAACAGATACATGCTGAAACATCTTGGTTAGGGTTCTTAAAAGTATTGTATACCGATATCAAATTTTTTTAAAATATATATTTTTTAGTGTTGATGGACCTTTATTTTACTCATTTATTTATATGTGGTGCTGAGAATTGAACCCAGTGCCTCACACATGTGAGGCAAGCACTCTACCAACTGAGCCGCAACCGCAGCCCCTAAAATTTTTATTATACAAACAAAAGCTGATTTCTTTTCTTTCTTTATTTATTTTTTTCAGTTTTAGGTGATCACAATATCTTTATTTTTATGTGGTGCTGAGAATCGAACCACATAACCCAGTGCCCTACACATGCCAGGCGAGTGCGCTACCATTTGAGCCACATATCCCCAGTCCCAAAAGCTGATTTCTTACAAATCTCTTAACAGCTTTAAGAACCCAGACAAAGCAGAACTGAACATCAAGACCAGATCAGAGGCCCTTTTATTTGTATTAAATCCACAGTTCTTCCTGAACCACACTTGCATCTACAAAATCCACCAACCCTATTTTCCACTTTAAAAATCTCACAAAAGCCAGGTCTGGTGGTACAAACCCATAATCCCAAATACTTGAGAGGTTAAAGCAGGATGACTGCCAAGTTCAAGGCCAGTCCAGGAAACTTAGCATTTCTGAAAATAAATTAAGGGCTAGGATGTGAAGAGCACTCTTATGAAGAGCACTTGTCATGCACAAGACCTTGGGTTCAAATCTAAACCTCCCCCAGACCCCCCCAAAAAACCCAACTGAAAAAACTCCACAACCCTCACAGGGCTAAGTATCCTCAGGTTGAATCTCATTACCTTCATCCCCCCCATCCCTTTTTTGAGGGTGAAGGGTACCAGGGATGGATCTCAGGGGCATTCCAACCACTGAGCCACATCCCTAGCCCTATTTTGAATTCTATTTAGAGATAGGGTTTCACCAAGTTGCTTAGTGTCTGGCTTTGAACTTGAGATCCTCCTGCCTCAGCTTTCCAAGCCCTGTGGGATCACAGGTAATATGCCACTGTGCACGCTCATTACATCAACCTTTTAACTATTCCTAAAATTCTCTCTAGAATAACTACTTTTCTAGCATGTGTGAGGCCCTGGGTTTGATCCTCAGCACCACGTTAAAATAAAGATGATATGGTGGTTCAACTAAAAAAAAAAAAAAAAAAAAAAAAAGGACAAGGCCAGGAGCCAACAAAAAGACAACAACAACAACAAAAACCTAAAGAGCTAGAAAGCAAAACAAGTTCCTATGTTTTTTTTTTTCTTTGTGCTGGGGATTGAACCCAGGGCTTCACACATGCTAGAAAAGCTTTCCTAGGAAAGCACTTCCATTAATACTTTTAAGTACTTTCAAATTTTGTATGACACTAAAATTCTGTAAGGAACTAAATATATCCTCAGTCCAAAGGAATTTTTTTTTTTTTTAAAGAGGGTTGAAGTGGATTAATGTTGCTCAGACAGTCTCTTCAAGCCTTCCTAAGCCTCCCAAGTAGTAGCTGGGATTCCAGTGGCACACCACCACACAACACCTAATTTTAAAAGATAAAGAATAATCTGTCCACTGCAACAATTTAATGCTATTGATACATTCACAGCTCTTAAATGTTTAATCTTCTCTTTCACTTAATCTATCAGAAAAATTTATTCACTAAGGACAGGAATCAAACTGCATGGAAATAAATATACATATTGGTTATATTTTTTCCCAACTCTGATCTTTGATAAAACACTTGTACATCCAGCCCTGTATTTATTATAACCCCACGTACTAGACATACAAAAAAATGATGATTCCTAGCCCTCAGATGTGAAAGTTTTACCATGTGACCAATTAATGCTTTAAGCCATCTGGTTTACATTTTGTTCTAGATTTTCTTTAACATATCTATTAGCTACATTCAAATAAGCCAGAGTGAGTTTAGTAGATCTTCACTTTGCAGTCCTATAGATTCTGCCTTGTCTTCATCCACTAGAAGATTCTCAGTGGCCAGAGTTCTAACATATGCTCAAATGTGCAAGATTAGAAAACTTCTTTTCCTGGTTATTTCAGATTAAAGATAAACACTTCCTCCTTTTTAAAGACAGAATACAGGGCTCACTGATAACAAAGTAGACCCACTTACAAATGACTTATCAGCCCACTCCTCCAGCCTTTGGTAAATGGAAGTATGACACTGCTATTTCTGCTGGCTACTTTGAGTTTAATACCAGTCAGGTATGCTAGGTAGTGGCCTCTGAACGGAGAGTTGGCAGGGTTATGAGTAAACATGGGAATGAGAAGGTGGGCAGCCAGCCCCGCCTGACTAGTCAAAGCTCTTGCTCAGTATAACAACTATTTCATTATTCCAGTAATAATGTAACTCTAAAACAGGCTTGGTGGTTCAGGCCTGTAATTCCAGCAATTTGGGAGGCTGAGGCAGGAAACTTAGACAATGTCTCAAAATAAAAAGGATTGGGATGTAGCTCAGTTGGAGAGAGCCGAGTTCAAAGAAACCCCCACAAAACAAATAAGAAACCCTACAATTCTGTATTCCTTGATTGTGATCATATAGACATAAAACTATGGCTGCTATGTTGACTACACCTGTAGAACAGCAGCTCTACAAATAACTTAAAGGGTTGGGGATGTAGCCAGTGGTAGATGATTCAATTTTTTACTACCAAACAAAAACAAAAAACCCTAATTTTATTGTGAATCAATTATAATGCAAATTTAACATTTTTTTTAAATTTAGATATTCTCTTAAATTAAGAAATTTCAGAAGAATTATTCAAGGGATTAGGGGTGGTACATACCAACAGGAAGAAATGCAATGCTTGCCAAAAATTCACAATTTAATATATACTGAATGAGTACACCATAAAATATGTGAAAATCTGCTGGTGAATACAAATCCTATCAGTTTCAGTTGTTTGAAGAACTCCTATATAAACAGACATAAAGGCCCCACCCATTCTGGCACTGACTTTAGGGGGAGATAAAATTAATCCCCTAAATTTTATTTATGTTTTTTCAGTGTCTGTTGGCAATCTTTAAAATAGGCACTCAATAAACTTGATATAAAAAAAACCCACTTTTAAGCATGTAGCAAATTGGAATAATTGAAGAAAGCTTCAAAACTAGAAGATGTTTCAAATTTTTCCTTACAAAACTGAGAAACTAAATAAAAGATCCAAGAGAATACAAGTCTATAACTGTGCTTTAAATATTTCAATTTATGGGAAAGCTCTATTGTTGGAGTTCCTATTTTAACTGGTTAAGTTTGTATTCTATACCAGTATGGAATAAAATTGAGATCGTTTACAATATAAAATTCAAACTGGGTGAAACATTGATAAGAATGAAGACTAATTATAGAATGGTTTTGTTATAGAAAAAAAATCTTTGCCAAAGAAAAGCATTCTGAATGCAAATGTTAAAGCATCTGGGCTAAAATAGTCATTCCTACACTAAAAAAAAAAAAAAAAAAGAGAGACTATTCTCCATTTAACAGGATATGTTCTAAGCTTATTTTCTTTTGCAAAACTGGTTCTAGAGACAGGAGTCAATAGAGGATATGAATTTAAACCTTACTAGCCTCCAAAGAACTGCCATCTTCATAACATTAACAGATGGATATCAAACAGCTAACAATTTTTTAAAATATACCTATTTAATAGTTCTGCCCCCCAAAACAATTTGATCAATAAAATATTTTAAGAAACTATACAATTCAACAATATTGGGATTATAGGTATGCACCACCATGCCTGGCCTTGAACTATTTTTGTTGATGGACTCGACAGGGAAAGATAAGGGATGATGATGTTGCCCATAAGATTTATTGGCCTGCGCAAAGAAAGCATGAAATCAGCCCTAAGTAAAATGTTCAACTTCTTGTGTAGCTTAAATAGAGATAACACTGAAAGACACCCAAGTGAAGAGTCAATTAGAAAAGTACATATACACTTTAGGTTGGGGAGAACATGCTAAAAATAAACATTATCACTATATAAATACTCCAAGTCATTAGAATTGGTGAGTGTGTTCTGGATTTACAGAAAAAGTCCTAATAGTAAATTCTTAATTCAACATTAAGAAATGGATCTGGCACCCTGAAAATTAAAAGCAAAACCAAAAAACAAACTTTAAGGCTGGAGATGTAGCTCAAGCGGTAGCGCGCCTGGCATGCGTGCGGCCCGGGTTCAATCCTCAGTGCCATATAACAAAGATGTTGTGTCCGCCCCAAACTAAAAAAATAAATATTAAAATTCTCTCTCTCTTAAATCAAACAAACAAACAAAAAACAACTTTAATAAAAAGCAGTGATCAAACTATATCTAGTATGAATAGTTCAAGTAAGTACAACTTTGCTACAATAAACATCACAGGAAGAAAAGAGCAAATATCTTTCTTTTTAAGATGGGGAAGAACAGCCCCTAATGCTTGACATGTAAATATACTCTCAAATATTCAAGATACTAAAAATTTGAAGAAAATTCATTCCAAATACTTCTACATTTTTTTTAAGAAAAAACTAAATGCAAAAAAAAAAAAGAAAAAACTAAATGCTTTTCACTTTCAAAAAATATTATATACTAGATAAACAAAATAGTAAATAACAGCCAAACCACCACAGGTAGATTAACTCTATGTGAA